TTTAATGGGTGCATATATATATATATATATATATATATATATATATATATATATATATATATATATATATATATATATATATATACTTCACCCCAAGAAAGGCAGGAGTGCCACTAGCATGAAAAAAAAGGGTTACAGAGGATTGAGAAAAAGAGTAAAGAGGCATGTTTGAGGAAAGGATACAGAGAAGGACGGGTAATAAGCTCAGGGTGTCAGATATCGATTGACATTACACTTAAAATATTTGAAGATTATAATCATCGGGGAAGCAAGTAAGAAGGAAGGGAGTTCCACAGATGGGAAGTGCGGGAGAAGAACCTGTTTGAGAAGAAGAGACGATTACATTTAACCGTTTTGACAGTGAAAGGGTGGGACCGAGATGCCAGCCTGGTAGCTCGCTTAAATTCATGTATTCCGAAAACAAGCAGAAGTAGCTCGTCGGAACAGTTGCCGTGAAAATACTTGTAGAAGAGACAGAGCGAGGTCACGGCACGTCTGTGGGATAGCGATTGTAGACTAGATACCACATCAGGACCTATCATCTTGGATATTCGTCTTTGGATTTTGTCGAGGACCTCGAGACGTACAGCGGGAGCACCAGACCATATATGACAACAATATTCCATACAAGGTTGGGTGGTTGATTTATAGATCTGTGGGTGTGTGTATTTATTAATATAAAAATAAATAAATTAGTGATCACTTGAGAAGACACCGGAGGTGTTGAAACAAAATGGCTATTTTTGTAGTGATTTTATAACATATTTATGTTATAAAATTTTTAAATAAATAATCATATATATATATATATATATATATATATATATATATATATATATATATATATATATATGTGTGTGTATACATGCATAAATTATATATGTATATATATATATATACATACATATATATACATTTATATGTATCTATATATATAAACATACATACATATATACATATATATACAATACATACATATCTATATATACACATATACGTATATATATATATATATATATATATATATATATATATATATATATATATAGCCAAATAAAGGAGTTTTGCCACATGGTCTGAAGATCGCACTTTGGTGTGAAACTGGTAATCACTATGAAATGATAATTTGCTGTGTGCACAATCTCTCTCTCTCTCTCTCTCTCTATATATATATATATATATATATATATATATATGTGTGTGTGTGTGTGTGTGTGTGTGTGTGTGTGTGCGCGTGTATATATATATACCCACATATACAAATTAAATAAAATTCGTTACAATATATTTTAATAATGAAACGGACTGAATATGGAAGGTATTGTCAGTGGTCAAGTAACAATGATAGCACTGGCTGCTCGGTCAAAGAATGCCAAATTTTTCCTGACGAGGAAACTGTTACCATCCGTGGCAAAATAAGGGAAAACCGTCTATAACTTAAATCAATTGATTCTGAAGTCAATGAAACTTGTTGTTTTTATAGAAATGCATTGTACATAGATGAATAAAATTTTTGTTTTCCATGAGAAAGGTATTGCATAAATGACGTCACATGTAGAAATAAATACATTCTGAAATATTTTACTGGGATTTTAAAATACCATCGACTGGGATCAAAGATTTTATTTAATGGAGATTAAGGATAATCGAACTCATGCAGAATAACAGAAAGAGGTATAAGACAAGAATGTGTCATCTCACCGGATTTATTCAACCTGTATAATGAGGTGTGTATGAGAAAATTAAATGTCTGAGCAGCATTCATTATTGGCAGACACAATCTTGACAACATAAAATATATAGATGACACAGTGTTGATAGCAGACACTGAAGGGAAACTACGAGAATTACTAGAGAAGTAGTGATGGAAAGCGACAGGAAAGGACTAAACAACAATTGCAAGAAGACCTGCTTGTCAGCAAAAAGGAAGTATCTAACATGCAAATTACAAATTGGAGATACCAAAATCAAACAAGTTTAACATTTTAAGTATCTGGGAAGTGTTTTAATAGAGTAACGAATGTGCGACACCGAAATCTGAAGGCTTATTGGAATAGCGAAAGATGCTTTCCAAAAGCTAAGTAAAGTATTGAGGAAACGGAAATTTTCCTTAGAAAAAAAAAGAACTGTTGCATAATATCGGTCTTCCTATATAGGTCCTCCTATATGCAAGACCACACACACACACACACACACACACACACACACACACACACACACACACACACACACACACACACACAGCTTCACTCTTTTCCCTACCGCCGTACTTTCATCTTAATTGTTCTAATGATCTTTTTCTATGCTACCTAGACATTATGAATTTAAGCACAGTACTAAATTGGCGGCAAGGTATCATCAGTTTACATTGGATACGGTTAGATGTAACCGTAAGTTATATGTTAACAGATTCTTCTGTAGCATTTCTCGCTTTCAGCTTCTTACTTCCCAGTTAACTTTGATCTTCGAAAAATGAAATGCAATATGAATGATTATCTTTTGTCTTCTTGTTATTTTATTGTTCTCTTTCCCTAATAGTTTTTTTTCCTCAGATTCTCTATCACTCAATAATCCCCTTACGGCATAGTAGTGGTCT